CCTTCAAATCAAATAACATAGTTAGAAACCTAAATCTGAAGATGCACATCCCATCTCAAAGACTGGACAAACGCTGCTCATGGTAATTGAGACTGAAATCACAGTGCTCACATTCAAGACCATTCTCAACTCTGCCCTTTAACATTCCCTTACACTTTCCGTAAAATTTTAGCACTACAGATGTATGGAAACAGCATTCCCATTGGAACCAGCTTCATTTGGCACAATTTTCCCTGACCAGCACAGCTTCATTAGTTTAAGCTCATGGCTATGCAGGTAGGGCTACAGATCTTTCAGACCAGAGGTGAATCCGGCGAGCAGGGGAAGCAAAGAGCTGCTCACACCCTCTGGGTCCTGATCACCGGCATGAGAGCCGGGACCAACACCAGCCCTGCACAGGGCCTACCTCCACCCCAGGGAAAGGAAACACACACACCAACAAGGCGGGTGCTGGGGTCTCGGGGGAGCCCCTGGAGCCAAGGCTGGCCAGCAGCTGCAGCCAGCAGTTGTGCACAACAAAAGGGCTGCCACGCTTTCATTCCTACTCGTTTAAATTAAAGAGAAGGCCTCAAACACCAAAGTACAGCTCTAGCTCCAAAAGCCTTCCTGGAGCCTGCCATTCTCTATAGCCAGGATTTTGCTCCAGAACTGTACATTTCGTGCTAACTTGCCTCACTTCTGAAAGTGTCATTTGCATGGCACCATAAATCCTATAAAAATGTACGGTTTCCATGAGCGCACCTGCTGTTCAGACATGAAAAGCAAAGCCAAAAAATGCCCCACGAACTGCCCTATTCGCTCTTCCTTCCAGCCTATGCCCCTCTCCCTACCCACCCCAAAGCATCGCAAGGCACGCTGCACAATGAGCGCCAAGGTGACAACTCGGGACGGCCACTCGGGCACGTGATTTTCAAAGGGCCCCTGACTCAGGGGATCCAACGCGGCTGGGCGCTCAGCGGCTGCCGCCTCACTTGGAAGCAACAGCTCCACCGGAGACGGCAGCTTCCAGGGAAAACCGGAGGCGAGTTGCCTGCAGGGCCACCGGCCTCTCCCGGAGCTCGCGCAGAGCACGGACTCTGACCCAGCCAGCTCTCCCTCACGCAGCGCACGAGCCTTCCCGCAGCAGCGTATCCAGGCTGGAGCCACGGCTCTCTCCAGGGGAGGCCCCTGGGCCCGGCACCTCTGGGCGCTGCGCTTCTATCCTCGCCGCCGGGACGCTCCCTCCGCCGCTCCGGTGCCCGCCACGGCCGTCCCGCCGGCCGCCGCGACCCCGGGCTTCCGCTCCGGCCTCGCCGGGGGCTGCGCAGGCCTCGGCACGGCTGCCCCGGCCCGGGAGGGGCCGCGGACCCAGCGCGGAGAGGCCGCCCCCGCCTTACCTGAGGGTCTGCGGGTGAGGCTGATGATCTCCTCGGCGTAGCCGCCGCCCGCCACGCTGCCGTTCATGCTGCGGCCTGCAGGAGAACTCGGCTCCCGGGGCAGCCGCTCTCACCTCCTGGGCCGCCGCCGGGCCGCGCCGCGGAGCGCTGGGAGTTGTAGTCCCCGCGGGACGGGGCTGCTCCCACCGGCGCCGCCGGCGCTCGCCGCAGAGGCGGAAGAGCCGCGGGCCCAGGGGAGCCCGGCACAGCGGCCTCCTGCCCCCGCACCTTCCCAGGCCCCTGCGCGGCATCTGTGCCTCGCCCTGCCTCGCTTCCCAGGCTGGAGCTGGTTTCCTTGAGAAGGTCAAGGACTAGGCCATAGTTGTCTGGGGTAGCCGTAGGAAAGAAGGGAGAGGTATGACCTGTTCCCAGCCTTTTTAACTGTCCTCACAGCAAACTAAAAACAGATCAGACCGTGCTGGGCAGGAACGAAAGCCCAACACAGGCAAGTAGCACAGAGAGCATCCATGCCAACGCCGGTTACCCTGCGGTGCAATAAAGTGATCTAAATTCAGAAACACAAACGGTGGATAGAAACACCGTGCCACTGCTGGGGCAAGAAATACTTAACTAGATCCTGTAGAAGGTGTTTAGTTTGAGGATTTGAGAATTTTCCTCAGAACTCTACAGAACTCTAGATAATTACCTAGCAATAAAGGGCAAAGTAGTTCAACTTGCTGGGTAACAGAGGAGCCACTTGAGTCCAGGACTCTGTACCTCAGGGTTTATTGACCCAATAGATTATCGGGAAATAGCAAGGAAAAATGTATCCTTATCTATTTCAGCACAGGCTACAAGTGTGTCCATACAGACAACGACAACAGGGAACAATGTCAGTTGAACCACCTGACTGCCTGGCACTATGAGGACAGCCCCATCTACCCGCTGCGGGAAGCTCTAGGATGAAAATGAGGAGCAGCTTTTCTGGTCCTCAATGTTACACTACCATTTTATTTGTGTGGTATTGCACTAAAGATAAGATGCTTTTGACTGCATTCATTCCAAGATTATCTGCACTTCTAGATTCCTGAATTTAATAGGGAGAGACAACCTGGACACTGGATCTTACTGCTACAACATTAATGCTTAGTGCTAATCTGAGTGTTATAACACCTGCTCAGAGGTGGGAGACAGGCATTCAAGGTCCAATTACACTTGCAGTGATGAGCAAAACCATGACTCGTGTGATCGACTTTGTTGTTGTTGTGAAGTAGCATTCACCCTAAGTTGAGAACCTCCCAGGATCTCATACTCTGCCAGTGGGGAGGTGCACAAAAGGTGGGAGGGAGCATGGCCAGGACAGGTGGACAAAAGGATATTTCATAGCACAGAATGCCCAGTATATAAGCTGGGGAAGTTATTTGTAAGGGGGCCCCACACATTCTGGGACAGGCTGGGTATCAGGCAGCATGTGGTGAGCAATTGTACTGTGCTTCACTTGTTTCTCTTGGGTTCTGTTACTCTCAACTCCCACCATTATTATTATTATTATTATTATTATTATTATTATTATTATTATTATTATTATTATTATTATTATTTTAGTTGTTTCAATTATTAAACTGTTTTTATCTCAACCCACAAGGTTTACCTTTTCTTTCTGAATCTCCTTCCCACTGGGAGGGGTGGGAGGAGAGTGAGCAAGCAGCTGCAAGGTACTTGGCAAACTCCTTCAAGATACACAGTGTTCCTTAGCAGCAATTTAATGTATTTTAGAGATGACAGCCTTGGCTTAGAACAAAACAAATTTTATCTTGATCTGAGATAACTGCAATGTTAAGTGTTTTTAAAAGTTTTCTTTACCAGGAAGAGATTTCAAACAGGAAACATGGGTATATTGCAACTTAGTCCTAGGCAGCTCCAGGCATCACCTATCATGACTGGCCTGCCACATATTAACAGCTACCTAAGCCTTAATACCCTCACTGCACTGGCACAGACCATTTCCCAGAACCAGAGAATGGCTTGGTTTGGAAGGGACATTTAAGATCATCTAGTTCCAATCCCCCTGCAATGGGGTCCACTAGTCCAGCTTGTGTCTTCTTATTTCCTCCAGCACCATTTCATGTACTACAGTGACCCACATCTCCTGGGAGATGGTGCAGCAACATTTGCAAATTGCCTCTTCATGTACAAATGGCTTACATATTAACCAAGTGCTCACATCCATTTAAAGCATTTTAAAATGCAGTTAGAACCAGGAGGGGAAAAAAAGGGAAACCAGAAAGGTTAGGACTGAACTTAGACCTGAACCTTCATAGCACCTTCAGAGTAGTGGGGCATTTCTAACAAACCACCAGAAACATCAAGTTTTTCATTGTGTTGAAATCAGAAACAACAATATTTTCAAGGAGAAAATCTCAGAAAGGGAGCTTACACATTTTTTGAAACATAGAGTAGGTTTGTTAGATACATGTTTGTCTTGCTCATAGGGCCCAAGAAGAAATGGAAGAAAAGTATACAGAAATACTCTTATCCAAAGCTCACTGAAAGCCTCCTCCCAATTACGTCCTGGTTTTGCAGAACCATCTTTAAGCACACAGAAAAACAGAAACCACAGGATTTTATTACTTTATCTTTCCCAAAACTGCATTTGCAAGTAAGCTTTCTGGGCCAAATGTGCTTTAATTTACACCTCTGTCTCTTCAGTATGCAGGTCTGTAAACAAGAACTCCCTGACTCCGGTGTTTCTCTGTCTCAGAATAGATCTATACTTGGGAATTTATATTATACTATTGATCAACAATGGCAGGCCATCAAGGTGGCAACCTGAAACTTCTGCCACTCTTTTTGTATTTAAAAAGCAAAATTTAAAAAGTCTTAGTAGGTACTAGATGTGCATAGGTAGTCGGAAGGTGCTGGGTGTAGTGCTTTTATTACTTTTTATCTCCATCTTTCAGTTAATTCACATCTCTCTTGTCTGTCCTCTATCCCTTGTTTGCAACACCTGAATTACAATTGTTATTTCTCAGAGGACACCCCTCCCACTCCCCCAGTCCCCAAAAGAGGTCTCTGGTTATGAGGAATAGATGTGGTGTTAGTCAAGGACAGTTATCTTGCCTTTTGGCATAAATGCAGGACCAAGTTTTCATCATCTAATCAAAACCATCCATGTTCTATCATGACAATAAGCACAGCCTAAACAAACAATGTGTTACCTCATTTCTGCAGACAGCCTAGATAAATATTTAAGGACCGATTTGCTCTAGACAAAAAGCTGGGAAAAACTGTGAATCATGTGCTTTGTATTTCACATCCCATCATAATGTAATTATCCTTTTTGGATACAGGACACCAAAAAAATACACATTAAAAATTACAGGAAAATACATATTCTAAAAACATATATTAAATATTTGGGAGGCAGCAAGAGTTGACCATAATAATTTGCAGAGTCACCAATATCCTTCTTCCCAAATGTTCCCAAGTGTTGGGAACCCTTCCTTTACAGAATGTTTGCTAAAAGCGTGTTCTTTATTTTCTAAATACAAGTAATTCTTTTGTTAGCAGACAAGTGCATTATACGTTATAGCACTTGCTCTTTATCCTGAAACACCTTTAAAAAAAAGGATTAACTGTGATCTGGACTACAGACCCCTCTTCATGCTGATCTGATAGAACGGTGTAATTACTGCTGTAATACAAATAATAACAATAAAACGTACTGAATGGTATTTCCATGTCCCTAATATTTTTCAGAAATTAGGCATATTTTATGTTATGTTTAAAAAATTAAAATTACAATGTTCTGTGTAGCACTCCATAGAGCTAAGAACACATTCTGTTATAGCTGAAGAAAGAATCAGAGAATAAGCCAAAAGAAACCCCCTAAGATAGTCAGATAAAGTCGGTATCATATATTGCAGATATTCTAGGTAGGGGAGAATTGCAGAATAATTCCAAATACTTTAGAAATTCAGTTAACTTGGGGAGTCCCATAGACAGCTCCACTCAGAGACAATAAAATACACAGCACTTCTCAGAAGCAGTCAGCAGTCAAGACACTGGAAAATTTCCAGGAAATAAAACCAGTTTGTTCTTGTGCAATGCCAGATTTGGAGTCACTACACTGTTGAGACATATTTTATGGTTCAGAAATGCAATGCTTTCTGGTTGTGATCTGGATAATCCTTCTCTACTCTTCCACGAAAGGAAGACCCTGGTCCCTGTGGTCTACCTCCCTCCTGAAGGTTACTCCCTGTAAACAGCTGGAAGCATTTGTGAAACAGACACCTGTATCTCACTGCAATACCTGTTCCTTACCTGTCTGTGTGTCACAGATGTAAATTAAATCACAGAGACACAAAACGGTTTGCCTGGAAGGAGCCGGTGGAGACTGCAAGTGCAATTTTTTCTCTTTGATTGTTAACCAGTGACAAAAGATGTTCACAAACATCTCTCTCACTGAATTGAGGAAAATATTAGGTGAAGGAGGAAATTGAAGCGAGTAGCAAGTAGTTTGACATCTGCTCTTGGCATCCCTATGTGATAGTCGAGACCCCAACAATTTTTATCTCAAACAGGAGTTTGGGACTAGAGTTACATGGTTCTGCAAGAAAGGTATTTTGACTATGTTTTCACACTGAATCCTACCACATCAAACATCTATCTACACCTATTTTAAGATGTTTGCATTTTTATACTGTTGATATGAAGCATAAACACAATACCTGCAGTTTACTCAATTACATCAATTTAAGAGCTCAGGGTACAAAGAACATCATGCCTTACTGCCTGCATTTATTAACTTAAAAGAAAATATACAGAGATAAGATTTACTCTGCATTTAATGATATCACATTGAGATTAGAGCTGTTCAGAACCTCTTGAATTATTTTGATGAGTTATCAGATGGCTCTGCTAAAGGGGAGCATTTCCTCAAGAGAATCCAAAGATATTGCCTTTTTATCTTTGGTGGATTTTCACTCACCAGCAGGCGACTATCCTTTAGGAACTTGTCTTTTTTTCTGTCTTTGAAAAAACTGCAATATTCTACGAAATTGGGCTTTTATCTTCGCAAGCCATCCCTCTACTTTCTGTCTATAACGGATGGAAAGGGCCACTCCAACAATACACATAGAAAAAAAACCAAATAGTACTAGTCTTACTATTGCTCTCTCGGTCTTCTTGGCTGGAGGGGGTCCACTGTCAATGCTACCTCCATATCCTTCCAATTCACAATACGGAGGAGCCCAGCCATACTCACAGTGACAGTTCTTGCGATTGTTACACACTCCTCTGTCATGACACTTTGTCATGTTACAGTCGTAGTTCAGCACCAATACACTCATACACGTCCTGTTGATACAAAGCATATCACTGCCACATGGTGTGCCATCTTCCACAGCTCCCTCATCTGCTCTTGGCAAACCTACGTGATAGTCGAGACCCCAACAATTTATATCTCGAACAGGAGTTTGGACTACTGTTACATGGTTCTGCAAGAAAGGTATTTTGACTATGTTTTCACACTGAATCCTACCACATAAGACATTCCTCATGCTGCATTTTTCAAAATAGATATTGTCACGAATACCACAATTCCCAAACCGGTCACCTTGAGTATTCACTGCTTTGAAGCAATCTAAAGGGGCAACCTTGGCTTGTTTGCCAAAGAGATGCTGGCACTTTTCTCTGTGGGAAGAACATTTTCCTTGATAGCAATAAACACCATCATTGCAAGGAGCTCCATCTTGTAGGTATACATCCACTGGGCACTGAGGGGAAATCCCATTGCAATACTCTGGCAGGTCACAGCTGCCACTACTTGCTCTGCAGAGTGTTCCTGCTGGAAGGACCTTACAGTTCTTGCAGCATTTTCCAGATGCACAGTTTGAACCTGCAGTAAATGTACAGTTTGCGCGGCAACAAGGATCCCTTCGGCAGCTTGCTGCTGAACCACAGTCACATTGCTCTCCACTTTCTACTATCTTATTCCCACAGTATTCACTTCTCCCGGTGTAGAAAGTGCCAGGTGCTGGCGGTTGACGAAGGCACGGAGCACCATTTACAACCAGCTCAAAGTACTGTTTGTAACTGCAGTCACTGAACGAATCCGTTTCAGCATTGTTTTCATACATAATGCACGTCTTGCGTTTACAATTACATTCTGGTTTATCATGGACCATCCCAAGATTATGGCCCAGCTCATGGACAAATGTGATAATAAGTGAAGACAGCTTCAGCGTAGTGAAGGAAACAACAGACGCTGCCCAGTGGCTATCACACACTGCCCCTATATATGCCAATCCCAGGCTGCTTCCAAACCACTGGAATGCAAATAAGTGAGCAATATCGTGGTACATGCGAGGCAACAGGTTTGACTTTCTCCAGGCGTTAAAGTCACTAAGTACCTTGGGAATAGAGTTAGTAATGTTTATAAAGTTTTTTTCAGTCCAGATCTCCAGTCCTATAAGAAAGAGCCGGACAGAAAGCTGTTTGTACAAAATGTCCCCGAGATTGATGACTTGCATGACCTCCTTCAAGACTTGGGATTTGCTCCTGCCTGACTTCACAAACCGCACGTGGTCCACGACCACTACCATCTTCACATACCTGATGTGTGTCCACCAGTCCTTCAGCTTTTCGTTCTCCTCCGCTGCCTTGGGAGCCTTGAACCACGGCAGCACAGCCTTTTGTTGCTGCAGCACGTCCGGCGTCAGCCCGCAGCTGGTTCCCTCGGGGCTGTGGTCCTCCTCCATGCGGTACAGAATGTGCCGGAAGGCCGGATCATTGGGGACGGGCTCGATCTCGTAGGTATCATCCTCCACCCAGAGCATGCCGTGCAGGCCCCTGCCGCAGGTGCTGAGGCCCACAAGGGAGCCGGGGCTCCCCACCACGTCGCCCTGGTAGAAGCAGTTGTCCCGCACGAAGGGGTGCTCCTCCCGGCGGGCCCCATCCCGGCCGTAGGTGACGAGGGTGAAGGGGCGGGAGACCAGGCCCCTCCTGGGCTGCAGGCGCAGCACCCGCGGCCGCCCGGCCACGTTGAGCCAGTAGGAAAGGGCCGGGGTGTCCTCGTCGCCCCGGGGGCTCAGCTGCCGCGGCACCGTCACCCACGCGGCGCGCGGCTCCGCGGGCCGGGCCCCCCGGGCCCCGGGGCACCCCGCCACACCCAGCAGCAGCAGCAGGAGCCCCGGCAGCGGCCCCATGGCGGCCGCCGGCACCGGCCGCCCCCGCCCGAGCGGGGAGAGAACCTGGGAGGGCCCGGCCCGGGCGGAACCGCCCCGAGGCTCCAACTGCCGCCGGGCCGGGCCCCCTCCCCGGGAAACGGCACCTGCGGCATCGCCGAGCGCTGCCCGCGCCTCCAGACAGCCCACCCTGCTCTTTGAGCCGGAACAGAGGCCCTCGCGAGGAGGAATCAGTAAATTTGCCTCTCACAAACATGTTCTCAGGTTTAATAATTTTCATTTCACATTAAAGAGTATTTCTCCCTCTGAGCAGACATAGCAAGGACAAGCCCCAGTTCAGCTTCACACTCCTTGTCACAGATGTTTGTGTTGAGCAATTTGGGTAGACCACAAGTGGGAAAATCTGTTTTAAAATCTCAAAGGGTTGGGTTTTGCTTTTTTTGCAGTTTTTATTACAGGATAATTTGTAAGTGGACATCAGAAACAGGCTATGGGTTAGAGTTAGAAATGAGTAAGTACAGAAATAGTCCCTGTGGTGACCTTAGTACATCCCTACTACAGCATACATACCCTCCAAGAAAAAAGGTGGAACCAGGGGAGAATTCACTTCCACTACGTTCCATAATATAGATGTAAACTAATAGTACTAAGTATAAAATCCTCAACCCTATCAACACCACAGCTGCTACATACCTACAGCAATGCACGTTAATACAGACACCACTTATGCAGCAGCAATTTTCCCACATCATGTCCTCTCTAAATACTTGTGTTTTCATAGCACTGGAAAGAGAACCACTGGTACTATCCCCATTTTGGGTTCAGCTCTGGCAAGACACAACCATAAGACAGCGATCAGGGTGGTAAGACAGGATGTCCCGTACAACACAGATATGCATGCTGGTTTTCTAGCACATAGTGCTGGGATTCAACATAGCCACAGCTCTTACCTTTTAGGAACTCTTCACAAATTTCTTTTCAGCACCACAAGCACGTTTGGGATGAAGTCCAAGCTGCTATGGCCCTTATCTTTCTCAACTGCAGGAGGTGTATCCTTCTACCATACCATATCAGGAATCCTGCTTTTTGTCACCAACTTCTGTGTGCTGGCCATCACCCTGGCACAGGCAGCAACACCTAACATTTCAAACTGCTGGAGATAGGCACTGCCCCTCCAGAGGCTGGGCAAGAAAGAAAGAAGCAGCTGGCAGAATGCTCAGAGCCTCCTTCTACTGCCTTATGCCCCAGGGTCCTGGAAGGGCTGGTACCTTATGCTGTGCACATGGCAGGCCTAACTAACAGCTGTGGAGATTACCAACTACTGCCCAAAGGTGCTGCAGATTCACCACAGCTGCTACATACCTACAGCAATGCACGTTAATACAGACACCACTTATGCAGCAGCAATTTTCCCACATCATGTCCTCTCTAAATACTTGTGTTTTCATAGCACTGGAAAGAGAACACTTACATCTACCACTGGTACTATCCCCATTTTGCGTTCAGCTCTGGCAAGACACAACCATAAGACAGCGATCAGGGTGGTAAGACAGGATGTCCCGTACAACACAGATATGCATGCTGGTTTTCTAGCACATAATGAAAATGTCATCTTTTAATGAAAAGATGACAAAGATGGTATTTCTGCTGCACCTGTGCTGGGATTCAACATAGCCACAGCTCTTACCTTTTAGGAACTCTTCACAAATTTCTTTTCAGCACCACAAGCACGTTTGGGATGAAGTCCAAGCTGCTATGGCCCTTATCTTTCTCAACTGCAGGAGGTGTATCCTTCTACCATACCATATCAGGAATCCTGCTTTTTGTCACCAACTTCTGTGTGCTGGCCATCACCCTGGCACAGGCAGCAACACCTAACATTTCAAACTGCTGGAGATAGGCACTGCCCCTCCAGAGGCTGGGCAAGAAAGAAAGAAGCAGCTGGCAGAATGCTCAGAGCCTCCTTCTACTGCCTTATGCCCCAGGGTCCTGGAAGGGCTGGTACCTTATGCTGTGCACATGGCAGGCCTAACTAACAGCTGTGGAGATTACCAACTACTGCCCAAAGGTGCTGCAGATTCTGTGGTTTGGTACCTTGCAAGCATGGCCAGCATTAGCAGCACAGACCTTGTAATACACTCAGATTAAAGGAATGAATACAGGATGCCTGCTTCTATTAGGATCCATCTAGGAAGATCTTTCTGGATATCCATCCAAACTCATGACCTATCTATTTTAGCATTACATTTATTTTCCTATTGGTTTTAGAATTATAGAAACTGTTTCTGGTGAAGTCTTTTATGTGCAGCTAGTTGTTGAATGCTTGTCCACTATTTTTCAATTATCAGTTTTGCATTTCAGTATTGAGAACTACATCAGATTATGTCTCTTTAAATAAATATAACCCAGACCAGAGTAATGGAAAAATCCTGTTACCTAATCTGCATGCAGTCTGTAGTGCTGTTTTTAAATGCAAGCTTCTGCTGTGTGATCACTCCTTATGCAAAAGACCCTACTAAATCACTCTGCCAATTTGCAAGAGTCATGTCTTACCACCCCTTCCATCCCTCGACATGAGGTTGCCTACTACTTACTTTCTCTTTTAATATAAACATAGCTATAGAGTTAAGACTAGGAAATACTCAGGTCTCAAAGCATTAGTATGAAGCTAATTATCCCCTTTGCCTTGTCCCTCCTATTGCCTATACCCCTTCTTGCTCCAAGAACATCTTGCTCTGGTAATGGCTGACCAGATGGCATCTTTCTTTCCTAGGAAAGGGCTACCAAAATATGAAGTATGGGGGCAGAGTGGCAAAGAGGAATGTGTGAGAGCAACATATAGCCTGGTCAGACCTTACTTAATGAAAAGATGACAAAGATGGTATTTCTGCTGCACCTGAGACACCGTTAGCTTTACACAGTAAACTGAGGCAGCAGTCTAGCTGGATTTTTGCAGGCATATGTACATATATACACAAGTACATACAATTATACATAGCTGTTCATAGGTATGCAAACATCTATATGTACTTTCAGGCTTTGAGGAGAATTGTTTCTGTTAGAGTTCCAGGTAATGTTCAGCTCCTGCTACTCCATGATTTAGGCAAAGAAAAGCCCTTTTGAAGTCTGAATGGTTATTATCTAAGAGCAAAACGTAGAGATAGTTCTCTTGTTCATCCAAATCTCTCCTTTACACAGAAGAAAGTGATGCACAAACAAATTTCAGAAGTGCTTGCTTCTTTCCCTTTCATCTACAAGCTACAAATACTGAATGTCGTTTGGAAGCACTTTGGATGTCACAGTCAGACTCTACACCAAGAGAAAAAGGGCTTAGATTTTCACGCACTGAAAAACATTACTGACTACAGGATAATCTGCTTAACATTTCAACATTAATATCTGACATAATGTCACTTCAGTAAATTAGTATCTCAGCTCCCTTAACTGATGAAATTATTGTAGAATATCTGGTCAGCAATTAACAGGATCAGATCTTTCAGTTCCCCATATAGCAAACCTTCAGCACTGGACAGCTACTAGGAAATCAACACACTGGTAACATCCCTTACTGTTTTAAAATGTAATTTGCTCAGGGAAAGATAATTCCCCTGGAAAAGGTTTATCATATTCAAATGCTTGTTTCATGATTGGAAGCCATTTGCTATTCTCTCAATAGTTTAGATGCTGGCACATCAACTCAGATGGGATCAGACCAGGAATCCATCCCTTTTAACGCCCTTTGACACCAGCCAACATCAGGCATTTCTGCAGAAGACAGAAAGGCTGCTGAGATATAAATGTGAGGACAATCTGCCCCTTCACGTTCCATCCTTACCTCTGATCAGCTCAAATTCTGAGCATGCAGTATAATGGTTCAGTCCAAATGTAACTCCAATTCACCTTCATTTACATGTCCCTCTCTTCTTGTACTACAAGACAGAACAAGAGTCCTCTACTTTACTATTTGTTACACTATTCAGTTTTATAAAGACTTAATACTTGTCTTCCCAGTGCCATCATAGGAGAAACTCTGTCCTACTCATTTTACTGCCCTTATTCAAACCCTTCTACTTTAGGGAAATTCCTTTTCAGACATTGAATTGCACAACACACTTTATTTCAGGTGAAATCCAGTGACTGATAGAATATTTTGCTCACACTATTTTGCAGCATGCATTTTTTGCCACAGCTGTATGTGCCTTCAGCAATAAGTAAGCTTTCTTCTGCTAGTAGTGTTAAATACTTCCTTAGATTCATGAATAGATAATTTTCTCCATTAAAAAAACAGGATACAAAAAAAACCCCAAAACCACAAAAAAACACACCACCAAAAAACCCACACACAACGAAAGCCCAATACCCTAGATCTTCATTAAGTGCAGTCTGTCATGTGTCTTGGTAACTTTTTCCAAATTACATACAGGTTCTCAGCTCATTTAATGGCCATTTCCATTTATTTTGGCCATCCACAGCAAGGACTGCTGAGGTGCCTCACCATTCATGTCTCCTTTCTGGAAATCCTGCATTTCCTTCATGGGGGTGGATGAGAGAATGGCTTTTGTGCTTCTTCTACTACTTGTTTTCAAAGGAATTTCTATAATACAAGAAAGAACCAAAACGCTTTTGTTCTAAGTATATTCACACCACCTTGTCTGGTTTTGAACATCCCAGAGTAACTGCTTTCTACATTTTCACTTGATCTAATAGTTCACACTATTTTCTTATCTACTTTTATCAACATTTTGAGAAATGGCTGTTCAAACCTGATCCAGGTATGAAATAAACCTAATACACACTCAAGTACATGAATATATGAATTTCAGATCTGTATCTGCGTTAACTGAGAACAGCTATTGGCATATCTGCATCTTTTAACATTACAGCTTTGGATTACACAACAAAAATGACACGGATAAATAGCCCTGACAGGTCTTTCTAGCATTCAGTAATAAACAGCTCTGACTGGAGAGCTAAGTTACTGAAAAGAGTGTCTTGTAACCTGAAGATAAATTTGACACATGTATTGAAGCATACTTTAGTCTTTCTGTGTACAAACCTTTTTCTTGCTAACTACGGTTTACTCCATGAAAATGGGTAACAGTTGTGGAAAGAAAGCAAACCATTTCAAGGTTTACTCCATTACTGGTGAAAAAGCAAAACCAAACTAATGGTAATTTCTTTTCAACAGATGATTTCTAATTTTTCTGAGGGAAAAAAAAAAAAGGTTTATGTAAGCAACATGCTTAAATAAGTGTATAGGTGTTAGTGATGTTTCTCTTCCTCTGTCCCACTTCCACAAGTCTAAAAGGCACATGTCTAATGGAGCAAGGAAGTGCCAGGAGCACAGAGGAAGAGATGTGATTGATACATTTGAGTTACAGTGGAAAATTAGAAATATAAACAGCTTCCCTGAGTGTGCAGCATCAAGAGATCTTAGCCTGTTTTACGTCATAAATCTCTCACCAAAACACTTACTTCTATAATAAAACTATTAGCTTAACCATTAAGTACAACCCGTGTCCAAGAATATCTAGAAACTGTGACCATTCTGACATCTAACTACATGGATTTGAGGGTCCAGTTAGCAAATCTTTTATCTTTATCCCAAGCAAACTAGAGGCACAGCAATTTGCAGTGGGTAACCTAACCTTTCCTCCTCAAAATAGAAGACAACATATTCCAATGTCCAAGCAAAAAAAAAAAAAAATGCTGCCAGCATATATGACATATTTGCTACTAACAAAGCATACATTTAAGAAAGGCATTCCAGCAGCCAGGAGTTTTATTTGCCAAGAATTCAAATTTTTTTTTATATATAAAAGGCTTTTTTTTTCTTTTTACATAGGAAACCTAGACACAAAGGATGCAGAGTTTGTAAAGATTTCAGGAGGCTGCTGAACATGTCCATGTAAAAACCATTCTGAGAAGTCAGCATTCAAAATTAAGATGAAGACTGAAAACAGCTCCTTTGAGGCAACTCACATCTTGACATTAACATTTGCATGAGAGGTTTCTACGGAAAAAGCTGTTATAGGGATCTCAGTCCCTGAATTCTCAGTCTCAGTGGAAGAGCTTAAATATAAAGAAAAGGGAGCAAGAATCTTCTGTTTTCCAGGTTCTGACTAATCCAGATGTGCAATAGCTTCTCCCTTCACTGGAGTCTCATTCGTTTTTCAGGTGGTCCTTTAGCACCAGCACTCTGAGCATTCTTTACAGTCTCTTTTTCCTCTGTCTTGACAGCTTCAGGGACTGGTTCTGGTTCCTTTTTGATTTGATCCACTAAAGATGTAACAACAAAAGAAAGTTAAACCTCTGATTTTCATTCCTAAAACACTCTTCAGAATATTTAGAAAATATTGTTAATGTCACAAGGGCAACATTAATTTCAAAGGTGTAAGAATAATAAGCAGAGAATAAATTCATACTTATATCAGTTAAAAGGTGGAAGAGATTGAAGTGATACAGTTCATGCCTTTCCTGTTTGAGGGTTGCCTATGATCAACTCAAAGTCTTCACTCTTATCCATTACTTTGCACAATTAGGTAATGCCAGAATTCTAAACAACCACAGTAGCATCAGCAAGAGCTTACTTGGCAACTGAAAGATACTGCATACAGAGCCTATTTTTTAAGTCTTGTAAAAATATTACAGTTTTACCTGGGACAGGCTTTTCTCCGGGCTTTTGCTGTGAGGGAAGAAAGAAAACCAACACATCAGTTGTAATTCTCAATCCTTCTTGCCATTAATTTAGGAATTAAATGCAAGCAATGCACTCATATGTAAGAGGTGAGGGTAGCATGGGTCACTAAATACACTTTAAACAAAATCCAGTTAATATTTTATAACATCCAGTTTTTTCTCTGACAACTGAAAAACATTAAAGACAAAAATATGCAATTAGCTAGTCTTTCCCAGGACTGGCTGAGGAGCACTTTTGTGAGATGCTGTAAACAATTTCCTTTGCTCCCAAGCAGAAGACTTGGTGGAACAAATGGCTACCAAAGACAATCAGAGGTAACCACAACAACTTCACAGAATGCCAAGAATTTCCACACTAACTAATGAGTCTCTAGAACAATGGAGTAACTAAAAATACTGTGATTGCTTGATTGAGTTCACAAAGGAACTGGAAGCAGCAGCAACATCAGATAGCTGAGAGCAGACCCTCTGTGATCAGATAAGGAAGATAAGGAAGGTGTATAATAAAATTCGCTGTCATAGTTTTGCCAAGGTCTTAATGACTCCAGTGATTACAGAGATCCTACACTCTGATATGAGCCTTCCATGTCAAGTTCATAATCTAATCCATGTTACTATTCCAGAAATACACAAAATTCCAATTCAGTTTCACCTGTTTAAATACCTATGACTGTCTTTTAAGTTCTAAGTTACAGTAAAACTGTAGCTTTTGAGTGTCATACCTGAACAAACCTGGGTGGAAACTTTTGTCTTAGGTCTAAAAGCAAAGCATCTACTCGTTGTCTTTGGAAAAGAGAGCTTGGTTCCTCTTTCTTCTTGGCTTTTGGTTTAGTTTTCTCTGCAAGTCACAGAAATATTAGAGAAAGATGTATTAAAATTTATTTTCTCTTATCAGCTCTTTGTTGTATGACAAGTTGGTATTTGTCTCTCCTCTGAACTTCACCTCCATTTTCTTACTGACATAAGGTGTGGGTTTTTTTTGTGGAAGACAGATTAAGGATGATTCTTACCTCCTGAAAAACTGGTTTGGCTTCTGAAAATGTGTTTTGGTCCCCAGTGGGTTGAAGAGTTGCCCACTTTGTTGACACACAGTTCATTATTTTCATCTCCCACCCGTGCCTTGATATTAATTCCCACTAGCACAGAAGGGCAAAATTCCTTTCAGCTGGTAGAGAGCCCTAACTTACCCTTCAGATACTTCATCTCACCTCTCCACCATCACTGTGCATTGCCTCAAGCTTTTCCCTACGTTCCTTTCCTCTCCCAAAGTATGCAGGAGAAACTAGCAGTCATACCTCGTTCTTCCTCATCTTTGAAATGCCACCAGTAGCCCTTGGATGGGTGATAGCGACAGTAGGACATCGCTTCTTCAAAAGCAGACTGAATTCCATGCACTGCAGTGAGCTTTCAGAACAAGGATGCAAGGCAGTGTTCAGAATTCAAGGAGCAAACACAATGTAAATTTTTGAAAATAGGTATTTTAAAATTAATATTCTATATTCATTTTTGTTCTGGAAAGGGAACTTGGAATATCCAGTTTTGGACTGAGAATGTAATTTCTTTAACAGGTTCTCACAAGGCTCTTCTGAAGTGCTTTCCTAAACTGACAGAAAAACTTGCAAAAAACCAATAGTTTACGAGAACAGAAGGAATGAAAACAAACTTGAGCATCCAATTTGAGAAGAAATACCACATCAATTGAAAACATATGCCTCATTTAAAAATAAATATTACATTATCTTAAGATTAGCTTTCCAAAGCAAGCTTCACTGATTAATTACTATTACATACATATGTAAAATAATTTAAAAATTTTGATCATTCCAACTTCATGCTGTTCTGCCAATTGTGTAGCTTCGGTTATTCTGATCCTTCATCCTTAAAAAAGTATCCTAGTTTCTGGGCAATACTGCACTCTCACAGGATCCTGCATTTTCACGTGGGGATTAACCAGTGGTGTTTGTTTTAAGTTACTGCACCCTTACTACACAAGATCTTTCCTCAGAATGGTGAAGAGATATTTAAACAGCCTGGGGGGCAACCAAAAGTAAAAATGGTTATAAACCAGTACACATCAAATGCACAGAACACTTACAACTCTGGAGTTAATGACAGATCCTAAGTCAGGTGCTTGATAAATCACTCCAGCAATAATGTAGTAGTCAGCCAATGGCATAACTGTGGAAAGGAAAAGGAGAAAGATGTGGGATCAATTTAAAGCTCTGGCCAAAGACTGTGTATTTGTTGCTGAATTTCAGTCATAGCAGGAACTGAGAAATTGCAATATTTCTCTGATCACAAAATTTTCTCTTGTTAACCTTCTTCTTCAAGGTGCCTTATTTGCACCTTAGGCACAGACTGATAAGGAGAGAAAAACCAATGTCTGCTTTACAGACAGAAAAGTATGTGCTGTGAAGTCCTGTCCTACTGCAAGCAAATTATTTGCTTTACAGAACTGGGGTTTTCAGAGTACACTAGAGCTACTACTAGTCAAGTGAACTGCTCTGGAGTAATTCTACCAGCCTTGGCTACCAGTAGAAACCCACTATAATGTAAGATCCCATTGTTCTGGAGTCAGCTTTCTCTAACTTCTACAGTCCTCTCAGCTAGATTTCCCAGACCCAATGGAGTGAAGCACACACAGAGTGTGCTTTTCTAAATTAGTAACATTCTGCTAAAAAAAGACTACCTTCCAAAGGCATTTGCTAAATCAGATTTGGAACTTCTACTGACCAATCAAAAATTCTTGTTCATTGGAGCTGCAGTGCAGAGGAACATTACAGTTGCCTCTGTAACTCTGCCAAACACTGTTCATTTGAGAAACCATAGCAATGCTCCCAGCTTCACATTCCTACGGACATGACCTGTGCACACATGTGTTCCAGGTCCTCCATCTCTACTGACAAGTCACCCAGTACTTCCATTTTATGAAGCTTGGACACCTGCCTAAATTAGCAGTCCCAGACAGTATTACAGCCAGTACCCACTTCTCCTCAAGAGAAAAAGGATGCTTAGCACTTCTTCACAAATGGAGCAAGACACAGAACTGCAGTTTTACTGTCTCACAGCTCTGTACCAGGAGTTACTCTCCTAGACAGGCAACACTCCCTAATCATTAATCTAAAGATTTTTATAATATCACTTCAAACAGGCAAAAGCCTGTCTTCAAGAATTTCAAATATAAATAGATATGTTTTAAAAACACACAGAAGTCATAAGACAGGCCTTCATCAGTTGTATTTGAGTATTCTACACTAGCTATGAACTCATTAAATTTCACCTTTACATCCCTATTCCTATGTCTCAGATACACTAATTTTTGTACCACAATGAAATAAATGCATGGAAACATCTCAGCTAGGGAATTCTGCAACTCAATTAAGGTACCCAGCACAAACTTTACAGTCACAGCAGGAAAAAACATTACCAAACAAGTCTCAGTTAAGTTCCACCAAACATACATCTGCCTTACAGCATAAACACACATACTGTGGCAGCTCCAACTCCAGTCTCAATCTAAAAGGTGTCAAAGCCAGAAATTAAGGGCTATATGATAATTTTATACTTGCTTTTAGAAGCTATGTTGAAAATCTCTAATAAAGAAATAAACAATGTACTAAAGAATCAATCATACATGTTTTCTCAATTTGGAACTGCAATGTAAACAGACCATTATTTGATATAAGCAAACAAGAAACATTACAAGACAAGGCAAAGCCCTGTAAAGGCCAAAATGCATATATAGAACCTAAAGCCCTAAGAAAAAGAATTTAAGAAATAACTAGCACTAACCCTGCCTTTCTTTCCTACAAATCTTACTCTGAGAAAACCTAAATTACGTTATATGAACATGTAGTAAGCAGATAAGACAATCCAATAACTATTGAAATGTGG